TCGGGGCAACCTCCCCAGTAAAACGAATAAAGTAAAGAAGAGAATTACGACGCGATTAACATGTATCCCCTCTCAGTGACTTTCTTATCGGTTCGAACTCATCAAGGCGACTTTGGGTTTCAAATTACCTTCTCCTGCATTTATTTCTCCTGCATTACCATTATCGACTAACACATTTGGAAGGAGCAAAACAGTTTAATTTTTCATTTTAGAGTATTGTTCTTCTCTCTATTGCCTAGGCCTACGTACTACGGGCTTTCCCTTTCTCTCTACCTAACATTCTTCTTTGTTCATTTTGGGGGTGTGGTGCGTGCGTGCGATGTGTTCATCCTACAGTGTGTGTGTGTTCAGGGTGACATTCGGCGCAAGCGCGATTCGAATGAATGCCACTAGAATTCTGCGGTCGTAACCACGCTACCTACTCGTAGTCATTCGGTAGCGGGAAGAACTGAGCCATGCGCATGGTCTTATATTTTATCAGGCCTGATAGTACTCACGGTTTTACAGCGTACCTACGCTTTGAGGCGTGGCGGGAATGTCGTCGTCGGAATCACAACGGTCACTACTACGCAAGTAAGTGCACCGCTGATCGAAGTCGCGTCGATGGATGATGATGACGCTGATGTCGATGCCTCGTGGTTTGTGATCGAGGTTTGACCGTTGTGGCATCGGGGGTGAACTTCGACGTTGCAGATGGACTTCCACCAGATTGTGTCTCCACGTTGATTGGCGCACGAAATGGCGAACGGATGTCTTGCCAACCTGCCTAGGGCGTGATATTGGCAAACGCAACCCTCTTCCGGTCACCGTACGTCAGGGAACTCCGTAGCCAGCAGGTGGGGTCAGAAGCGATCGGTACTACAGGTGTGATGTGCTGGTTGTGCAAGACTGCCACAAATCTATAGATACACATGATGCTATTTGGCAGCGGAATAAGCACACGCACAAAGAACACAATTTGATCGCACTGTTACCTGTTTTCCCAAAACCACTCGCATACAATTTTCCAGCAACGCACAAACTTGTTCGAGAAGCCTATTAACTGCTAAAGGGAAAGCCTAAGTTAGTCACAGAAAGGTAACACATGTCAATTTAAATCACCTCCAATTACACATCACGGCGCGAACTAAAACTGATCACTCCTGCCTCTTCCACAAGCCAGAACGAAGTGATCGAACCAAGTCCCAAATCCTCAGATAAGGCGCGAGATTCAAATCATCTCCACTATCAGTTTGCGTCATTTCCCGAGAGAAATGACGAAGCTCTAGATTCGTTTATTATCACGAAACGTGACAGGATAAGGGGAAGTGGGGTATCCTTTATCGAGCAACTTTGCATTATCCATTCTCTCGTTTCCCTCCCAAATTCGAAGAGAAACAAAGGCTACGACCGGGTCAAGGAAATCTGAATACGTTTTGCTTGGGTCAACGGTCAGAAGCAAGCACGCAATTTTTGGTGATTTTTCCTATCGTTCTACTTTTTAGGCGGTGGATTACATGTGCGCTATAGGCTTAGGTAGGGAACTCATTATTTACATTTTACGTGGTCGTGTTGCTCCTGAACCGAGTGAATGAAGTGAACTCTATCTGAGTGATCGCGCTTTAAGCTGGTTCATAAATATTTATTTGAATATTAATTAATTATTTAACAAGAAACAAATATCTCACAATTAACGACATTCATGTTCGTTACAGTATTACAAATGTCACAGTATGCCTACCATCCATTTCATATGTCAAAACAACAGTATGCCTAACGTCAATTTCACTATTTATAAAGTATGCCTAACATCTGTTATGCTTAAGGTCTGGATGACCAACATACGTATGTCAACCATACCCGAGCAGGAGAAACTAGCCTACACACTTAGAAATAACTAATTTTACACGTGACGGAATCCATCTTTGACATAAAAGATGATACGTAAACAAACATCTTTCCTTTATTTAACGTCGGTCTCTGTTCCGCAATCTAGTGCCAATCACCGACGGACATCGATTGCCATCCATTGACGGCAATCGAATGTGCAGGAAGGCAGCTTCCACACCTGCGTAAGATATCGCACCCATTCATCAACACACATGGGCCGGGACCAACGGCTTTACTTCCCTTCCGAAGGAAGACGTGACCAGAGATTTTTATGCCTCAGAAAAATCCCACCGACCTCGACTGGGATTGAACCCAGACCCATTGGGGTGAGAAAGCAGTCACGCTTACCAATACACCACCGACGCCGGCTACGTAAACAAACATGTCATGTAATATAAAGTGCTCTGAGACTGAAAAGTCCGTTGTTCGACGAAAAGTACATTTGATTGAGCTATATTTCGCGTCTGTTATGACTCAAATTTATGTCAAAATTAACGCTCGTATGTCACTCTCAGAGCACCTAAATTTACATGAATTTTTCTAAGTGTGTATGAATACCTAATTTTGACTTGATACCAACATTTGGTGTTGATCAGCATGACATAAAAGGTAAAAAAAATGATGTTTGGATACCAAAACAATACCTGTGTGATAATATTTTGGTATTGCATTTCCATAGTTTGGTATTGGAATGGTATTGTGGGAACATTTTTTTGGTATTTTTCCTTTTATGTCAGGCTCATCCATACCAATTTAAGGTATCGAGAGATTCGTTCCTGCTCGAGTATCTATGCCAATGATACTTATGCGTTATGCCCCTTCACCAAAATAAACGATATAATAAGACGAAACACCTTTATAAAGCCACCAGGGATGATGATGTCTCCACCGGTCTGCATCATCTCAATTCATCCCGAGCAAGTCACCTCCAATCTCGCGCACCTGGTGGAGTCGTCGATTCAGCTTGCGCACATTATTGCATGAATCTGGTTTTCGGTGCCTCTCGCCCTCCTACTCGTCTACCGCACCAGAGAGACCTTCCGACCCAGACCTACACCGGGAGATGATGGCTGGTTGGTTGGTTGGTTGGTAGCCGGAGAAAGAAGAAAGCCATTTCTTTTGCGCTCCTCTCCGACGATCGTGTGAGGCTTTCTCCTTCTTCCGCACACTGCTGTGCCTACTGTGGTGGCTCTTTTTCTCTCCGGACTCCACAAAAGTTTATGTAGAGAAAGAGAGTGACTGCGTTTTGTACCGTATATGTTCCGCTCGCACCACCTCCCGCGTGAAGCATTGAAGCCTCCTCGGCCCCTCGATCGTCAATTCGAATAGTGCTTCGAGTGGAAGTGAGAGAGAAAGAGTAAACACAGAGACCCCCGTCGAATGGGGTGTTGAATACAAGAGAGAGTACCAGCAGCAGTGAGGAGGAACGAGGTTGGTGATCATAGTTTTGTGGGTCTGTCAGCCAGTTTGTTGTCGATCGTTGCTATATGCGTTTGTGCGCGCCCTGTACGTCTCCGGAGCGATACGTCCGCGTGGCCTGCCTTCCTACCCAGTCAACGTTCTTCCGCGTAACGTGTGCGTGAATATTACTACCCGTGTGAGGTCCTGGCAAGAATTCTGAGGGCATTCATTAGAACCCACAGGTTGTGGATTAAGCGCAGTGCAATTGAGTGTGAAGCAAGTGAGACGAAAACGTTTGGGAGCTTGGAGTAACCCAGTTTTCCGTTGACCTACTTCGGAACCTGTCCGTGCGAGGTGAATTTGAGAAGAATGGGATTGGTTGAGATTGACCTAGTGATGTGATTGATCGACGGAAATACAAAATCGGCAGGATAAACCGGTGATTGCAGAAGCAAAGGATACTGACCTCTGTGAGCAGTGAGAAAATCTAGTGAGTTGGCAATCAGTCAGTGCGAGAGCAACGGAATTTTGTTAGGCCAAATAAAATTTGGCAGGTGTTAAATCAGTAGAATAAACATCTAAGTGAACGCAAGTGGGGCGAGAACTTGGAGCATTTCCGAGTAAAGTGAAGCGATCGAAGAAGGGAAAAAAATTGTCTAAGAAAAGGTGTCAAGTCGCCGTGGAAGAAAAACTTGAAAACTATCTTACTCTAGTGGATTGACCTACATTTCGCGGTGAACGAGCGGAGTTGGAGTCTCTCAGCAAGCACGGCGGCGACGTCATCACCGGGCGGATTACAGTGGAGGCAGCGCTTGCCTTGATCGTGATTTTCATTCATGAGAGCCGTCAAACGTGAGAGAAATTGAGCGAAGTGGAAGAAAGTTTCCGAGTGCCCCCAGTGTGCGCGGTTGAGTGTATGAGCGGTGGTCCACGTTGTGTGTGAAATATTTTGAATTTGCTACCATTCCGCAACAGCAATAGTGAAGCAAAAAGAGAAAAACCAAATAATGACGACAACAATAACAACAACAACAACCACAACACTGTTGGTAATGCATTTATGAATGCAGATGACCCGGATATTAAAAATACTGAGACTACACGCCATTGTAGCGATTTGCATTTAATTGTGTCAAAGCTGTCCGACGTGCTGCGCTTCCGTGGGGATATGTGTTAATTAGATTTGTGCGGAGCGAAGAAGAAAGAGATAACAAAGAGGAAACGCCGATAGCCGAGAGCAGTGAAAGATTGAAGAAAACAAAAAAAAAACGTACACGGCCAGTGATCTGATTAAGAACCGCACCCCGCACCTTCCGATTGGCGTTCCGCTCTGATGTGACACAGAGCCTGCGCTTATACAGAAACGAGAGAAAAGTGGTGAAATTGGAGAAAGAGAGTGAGAAAAATTTAAAATGTATTGAGGTGAACCTAATGAGAGCAAAACAGCTAACGAGTGTGAACCGTGTGACAACAGTGATCTAGATCGACTGGATAAGCGTTAGCAGTTGTCAAGTTACTCGAAAACAACCGAAAGTGAAAAGTGTTAAATAGTGAAGATAACTTCAGAGAGGATACACAAGTGTTACAAACTGACGGAGTCTACGACAACAAGATCCCAGAACGAAACTTTGTATATACATAGGCGAAATTTGGACATCCCCGAAAAATATTTCCCCGGTTTCCCAAATTTCCAACGCCTATCTGTCTGCCTGTAGGACCATTTTTTCTGATTTTTAATGGATTCCTATCAGTATTTCTATCAGTAATCCCAGTGAGTATTAGTCAACCTGTTTCTAATCTTGTAACTTATTCTCAAACCAAAATTTCCATCTCGGATAATTAAAACTAACGAATCAGAAAAAGTGTCAAAATTTACTAACGCTTCCGCTTATCCACCCGCAACTCATCCCATCGCTAACCCACCTAACATCTCATATCCGGAAAATTCTCAAGCAAATGTTTTTCGGGGATTCAAACCCTCTTCAAAAGCAATGCAGCGAAGCAAAATCCGGTAGGATCAGACATACCCGGCAACAGCAGCACCACCAGCAGCAGCAGCACTAGTAGTGGAAGAAAACACTTAAATCTCAATTTGCATTCACCTTCCGGACGTAACCTGGCAAAAGTGATTTGAATGCGGTTACTTTTTTCGATTCTGACCTGCCGCCATCCCAACCCGACGACCCTCCTGCTCGCGTGGGCACCTGTTCTGATCTGTTGAAAAGGTCGCCGAACTGACGTCGGTCGGTCGGTCGGTCGTTCAGTCGGTCGGTCAGTCGGACGGTCAGCGTTGTGAACCCGTCCTCTACCAGCGACATTATGCAAGTATTTTTGCCCTCCTCGATAGCCCGCCCGCCCGGGCTTGTTTTCTTTGCATTAGAATTGGCTTCGGGCTTAATGGATCGACCCGTGTAGGCTGACGGACGGTGGTGGCGGTGACTATTCGGTGGTGGAACTCAAAGCAGTTGAGTAGAGGTGATTGACTGGTTTTAAACGCATCATGTTCTGGAGCGCTATCGGTAATGATATGCAGCTTTACAGTGCCTCAATTGCTGTCAAAATAAGCGGCCGGTTTGTGGTTCGATTGTTTATGAGTAGGGGAAATGGGGGTAAAATGCTCATGGCGGGCGAAAATGCGACTGCCTTCTATCTTTGCTGTTAATTGATGAGATGTCCAAAAATTTAGCTTTAAACGTACTATAACGGGAACAAATAGCTGATAGAAGAAATTCATTTGAAATTTATGAAATTGAAAAACAATTCTAGTGGATAAGCACTGAAGAATAATGATTTGTGGAAATAGCTGGTATCTCTGAACACTACACACTTAGATTTTTTTTACAGGAGTCAGTTTACTGGGTTTTTGAATTACTGAAAAACTCGATTAAAATTCAAATGAGCGTTATTTGTAAAGATTTGATAAAATCGATGAACTTTATTTTTCATCATTAAACGGGGTTAACAGAAATAAATCTGTAAATTTTCGTAACACATATTCTAAACTTTGAATTTTTCACAGACATTCTAAATTTTACCGAACAGTTCCACAATTCAAAAACTCGGTAAAAATTACTGACTGGATAAGAGTTCTATTGACATTCAATAGAGAATTAAGGAAAGATAGATTGCCCCTTGGGTTTTTTGTAAACAAGTGTTTGCAGGCCTTTTCAATTTCACCAATTCAAAAAATAATTTATCAATTTTTGTTAAGCATTCAATTTCGATTATCTTTATGGATTAAACGGGGACCTTCTTGCATGGGCGTTTTACCCCCTTCTCTACTGAATTCTTTTAGCCGATTGAGTCACGCAAAATCGGGTTGTCCTCTCGTGAGATCCCCGTAATGAAAGTAATGCGTTCAGGCGGAAATGCATTTAATTTGAATTTATCCCTTGGAATATTTATTGCTTTTAGTCTGGTTGTGCAGCTGATATCAGTAAATATGATCAGTCTTAAAAAGCCGTCTTCTTTCAACTGCGTTAGTGTGGCCAATGAGTCACGAATATCAAGATGACAGCGGTTGCAGAATAAAATAATGCATTTTATTTTGCGATGTAATAGAGTCACTTCCTCAACTTTGATGCTGGAGGCCTTATTGTGGTAAAGAATTGTATATTTGACTACGGTGGTCATTTTAAAACTAGTCAACGGTTTGCTGCCTTGATATTGGTGTGATCGAATTGAAAGTGGAAGTGACTTTCATAGATATAATACTAGAAACGCAGAAGATCACCACGTTTCGTGACTTGTGCTTCACAAAGTTCTTTATATTTCAAAGGAATATATTTTTTTCAATTCAATGCTTAGACACATCAAACGTTCAGCAAACTTACACACACTACAAACTTACTGAACGGTTATGCAGTGTTTTTTTTTTGATAATCATCAAGTTATGTATATTGACGAAGTTATCTGTAACGGATTGTTTTGAATGCTGTCAAAGTGACTTCATAATAATTATTGTTGCACTGCAAAAACTGTTTTGGTAATCGCCTATGGGTCTAAGATTGGGCCCATCGCTAAAAATCAGCTATTTATCAATTTTATCTAGAGGAACGCGTCATTGGGACGGTACTAATGGATATTTTGAACGCTATTGAAAATTTAGCCGATGGCTGAATTTATTTTTGGGTCCAAATAAGGGGCATTTAAGCCAACATTAGATCCATTTCCCCTACTACTATTAAAAAAAGTTATATTGAGTAATAAGGTCAGTTGCAGCGAATCCAAATACATAAAGCATCCAACTATAAAGACAACACGCTGGCTACTACTGCCACGATACAATCTTTGTAATATAGCCTGATCGGAGTTGTAGAAGGATAATATACACGGTTGAGGACATAGCTTCGTGACGCAGCTTGCCGAAAATTTGGTCGTTTCCTTCTACCGACTCGAGCGAGTTATATTGCAAAGGTCGTTTGCCATGAAAAAAAAGAGAAGAAGATTGTATCATCATTGCTTTCCATTGCTGACATAGCGTTAACATTCATCTCGGAGATCGCTTGTAATTTTGTCATTTTGAGATATTTTTGATTCCTTGGTCAGAAGACAAAGATTTGAGTCACACGCGCGTATTACGCAGTACTGTCATGGTAAATATAAAGCGAGTTACTTACTGATTTCGTAGATGTGAGCGCCCCAATTACCTGAAAGTCATGCGTCTCCTATTAGGAGTGCGCATGATTCTAATATAGGAGTTTATGTATATATGCATGTACGTACATACAATTTAGTGGCCTCAAGCCAAAACTGAGATATGATTAAAAATGGTCTGCATTCAGCTCGCCATGAAATTATGGGATGCGTAGTTCTCGGAACTGTGCTGAAGTTCACGTAACTGCCCTAAAATACAGGAAATATTTGTTATATTCTCTAGACTTCTTCGAAGTTCTAAGGATTTCCTTGCATTCTCTGGACTTCCTTGAAGTTCATTGACGCTCACCGTACTTCCTTTTAAATCTTTAAGGTGATTCCTTGTTGCGTCCTTTTTAGCATTACGCTTCTCATCACAAGTCAAAATACCAAGATTTCTGTGAATGCACGTAGCAGAAAATAGTACTTGCAGTACATCTGCTGTGGAGAAGCCAGAAATTTCTAAAAATTACAGATGTACTAACCTCGTAAATCTCTAGATTTGTGCTCTTGAATTTTCCAAGTGCATTTTATGAAAAGGGCCCGTATTATTGATGTCAATTTGATTTACATGGAAATCACTTTACCGTGAGTGACAACTAGTCACTTCATTTCGTTTTCACCGTGAAGTGACACCCGTGATTAGGGCCAAGGACTCTACAAGGAAACACCCTAAACTTTCCTGAACTTGAAGTTCCACGATAACACATTTTGGAATTCTAGGAACGTCTTGAAGTTCTTAACAAATTTTATGAAATTTTCGAAATTTATTTAAAACTTTTGTAATGTTCCTAAAACTAATGGAACTGTCCTAATGGTATATGATTTTCCCTGAAATTCTTGCAATTATCGTTCTTCAGAGTTCGCTGAATGTCCATGAAGTTACCTAAAAATATTGTTCTGGAGTGTTCGACTGTGAGTTTCAGCTTGGCAGTCTGGCAAATGGATTTATTATAATTTGTCCCTACGTTTTGGCTTTGATTAAAGCCTTCTTCAGGGTAAACTGGGGAAATTTTATTTTATGCAATAATTGTTTCACATTCTATAAATTTCTGTACTCACAATTGTTGGATTTATTCTTTGTCTTGTCTAAAGTGTGTTTATTTGTTGTTAAATTTGTGTACATAGCGGTTGTTCATTGGGTTGTTCAAAGTTTTGCCGTTTTTTTTTTATTTATGGCAAAACCGCAAATTTAACCCACTACAAAAAATTCTACAAAACTTTGAACAATCCAATTAAAACTGATATGTACAAAAACTTACCAAAACACAAACAGACAAAGAACAAATCCAACAATTGTGAGTACAGAAGTTTATGAAATGCGACACAATTTTGCTTAAAAAAAAATTCCTCCAGTTTCCTCTGAAGAAGGGTCTAATCAGACCCCAAACGTCCGATGAATGGTAGCCAGACTGCCAAGCCGAACCTTATTATTGTTCCCAAAATAGTTTGAAGTTTTCAAACATCTCCGAAGTTCTCTGCACTTCTTGCAAATCTAGAAACTTTTCAAAATGTCCCACTGTTTTTTTCTGAAATTAATAGATTTGCAATAATGTTCCTTGGCGTTCCCTCCACTGGTGCAGCGAGGTGGTTTTGTTCCTCCGGTTTTGAAAACATTAAAAGAATAAAAGGAGACAAACTAGTTAAAAGTAGTTAAAATTGAACTGGCCGCTGGGTACTTTTTTCTTACCGTACATATTAATTTTCTAGAGTCCTTCTGTGTATTCTGATTTTTACTCTTGTTCTTCTGATTTTCGATTACGCAGTGGATGGCCTACTCTGCCTTTTTTAGCTCCTTGAGGCCTTGTTGATCATCTTTACGTTTTTTGGGCTCCTCATCCTCTCCTGGCGTATCCCTATCATTCATCAACCAGTGTTGGCAAAATATAATAATGCTGGTTCTAGCGGAGTACCAGCACGTTGACCTCGATTGATTGGTGATAAGTTGGAACCAGTCCAGACTGGAATAAGAAATCAGCGGAGACTCTGTCTTGATTCCAATCGAACTGTCAAAAGTGGTTCCAATCTGCAATGTGTAAAATTGGTTTGCTTGAATTATGGAGGAGTACTGAAATCGCTTAACGATCACTCATTTATATCTTTGTTATATTTAAAAGTGACATGGAAAAATGTACA